AGCAGGAAGGCTTACCCATTCTGGATTTCTGAATGTCCCTGTTATTCATAGCACACATTCCTCAGACTCTGTGAACTTTAGTCTAATCATAGAACTATACTTGAAAATTTAAATTTTTCCTATTTGCTTCAAGCTGTCAAACATAAGTAATCATAAATACCACAAGGGAGTAAATATTTTTTCACACATGTTCTTGGTAGACGCAGAGATATATCTAGAACTACTGTGCAGATTTCATTTTCTTAATAGTAGCAAATATGTGGCTGTGTTTTGGATTTGTGCTGAAAACAGTGTTGATGACACAGGGATGTTTTAGTTACTGCTGAGCAGTGCTTACACGGAGCCAAGGCCTTTTCTGCTTCTCACCCTCCCCCTGAGCAGGCTGGGGGTGCACAAGAAGGGAGGGGACACAGCCGGGACAGCTGACCTCAACTGACCAAAGGGATATCCGGTGTCATGCTCAGCATATAAAGGTGGGGAAGAAGAAGGAAGGGAGTGATGGCATGTTCTGAGTGATGGTGTTTGTTTTCCCAAGTACTGTTATACATGATGGAGCCCTGCTTTACTGGAGCTGGCTGAACACCTGCCTGCCAGGGGGAAGTGGTGAATGAATTCCTTGTTCTGCTTTGCTTGCACATGTGGCTTTTGCTTTACCTGTTAAACGGTCCTTTTCCCAACCCATGAGTTTTCTCACTTTTACTCCTCCAGTTCTCTCCCCTATCCTGACAGAGAGGGTGTGAGCAAGTGGCAGTGTGAGGCTTAGTTACTGGATGAAGTTAAAGCACGACAACCAAACTCAAAAAATACGCTGCCATAAGTCACTGTCTCGTAGACTCGCACGCTTAACTTCTTGAATCATCTCCCATTTTTGTGGTTATAGTGTGCTGTAGTTTTTTAGCTTTGTCAATGCTGAGGTAGTTCAGATCCTTGTCTAGAGGTAAGGCAAAAGCTAATTGCCTATGTTACCTTGTATTTTAGAATTGTTGCATTTCAGAAAAGATTACTTTCTACTAGCTCATATGATTCCAGTGAACTTCCCTATATTTAATTTTCTTGAGTCTTACAACCTTACTTTACATGAAGTGCAGCTGGGTCCAAGAATCCATTGTTTGAAAATGCTGAAGACTTGAAGTCCATGCTAAATAGCGGAGATTTTGATCTTGTTTAAATGAGAAACCTCCAGCATGGTGACATAAGCCTAAATGTGGATTATGTAATAGATCCTGCTATTTAGGGCAGTTCTAGCCCTGCAGGATCAAGGTACTTTTTAAGATGAATTAGCTGAATTGAATTACTTTTTAATATCAACGGTTTTTGAAGATTTCCTTATGACTAATTGATCTCATGATGCTACTGTATTTAATTCTGAGTAAAAGATTATATGTTTTCCTATGCAGTTTCTTGATAAGGAAAAAGCAAAATTATGCTGTCGTCTGGGTTTTTTTTCTCTACTCAAAAAGTGGAAAAGCTGCTAAAATGAGAACAAATACTCAAGCTGCAAATAAGCAGTAAATTTTTGTTGTCATGAACAGTATTATAAGAAAATCCTGTTAAATAGACAAAGAGGACTTGCTCCATTAAACTGTTTTCTAACTTAAGTTTAAAAAGAAGACTTCTGGCCTCCTTTAAAATTCAAAACTAATTTTAAAATAAATACACCATTGCTTCTTACTTAGTTTGCCGGCCTATTGAAGAAGCAAAGATACAATTTTTGAGATGGCTCTTTTCAGAATTCAGGTTCTTTGCTGTTAATATTTCCTATAAACTTCTAATTTTGATTCTTTAGAATTAAACCATATAAAAAAATTCTCTGTTTTCTTCATATTGGCATATTAATTTCAGATCAACACATTCTGTTCTTAAAGAAATAGTTATTGAAAGCATTTTAGATACAGCAATGAAAAGATATGGGAATATAATGTTGCTTTGGTTCCCACTGTACTTCTCATTCTTTAACAGAATTAAGAAAAAAATCTGCATGACTTCAAAGTTATTGCAGTGTCATTAACTTGTTGCTATTAAGCCAGCCAAAGATCCTGCAAGAAAATGGAATGGGAAATTTAAAGATAATCCAGTCCATCCCCTTAATCTGTAAAAAGACCTGAAATTCTCCTTTATCTTCTCTAGAGTAAAGAATTTGAATGTCCGGGTCACCTTTCCCTATTCCTAACCTCCTCTGTACCCATCTCACATCATTCTTGTACTTTTATTTTGAATCTTCCTTGCTTTCTTTTGCTTTATATTTAAATACTTCCTGAGCTTATCACTGGTTAAAAGATAGAACCACAGGTTAGGAATTTGTTTTGGTGTTCAGCAGTGGGAGCTCAAAAGGACACATGATATTCCAAGTATTCATTAAATGAATAAATGATGTGCACAAGTCCATGGGACTTGATGAAAT